ATAACTACTATATAATATATTTTAATTATATTATAATATTGAAGGGTAATTATGAAAAAAAATTAAAAAAAAAATTTAGAATGGTCATTCCTCTCATATGAGGAAGGAATGATGATTCACCCAAAATGGGTGAATGACTATTCCTTTTGAATGATCATTCTTTTATTTTAAATCCAACCAAACATCAAATTATAATTTCATTTTATTATATTTCATTTCATTATATTTCATTCCTTTTCACCTAACCAAACACACCCTCAGTGTAAACCATAGGAATTATCAAACCGACTGTTTTTATTTAAGGGAAATAGCTGTTCTCAATGATGCAAATTGCCATTAGTTAGAATTTGAAATATTCGACAATGACTTAAGAAATTTCTTGATATTCCTTTTAGAACATTGACACGTGTCTTAGTTTTATTTTTAACTCGACATCGGGTCTCGAGTCAATAATTTCAATATGGAGACGTATGAAAATGTAATGGCACTATTTGATCCCCTATTGAGAGGTTTGAGGTCAAACATGGAGATACACACAAGTCAATATTATCTTCATTTCGAACATTGATCCATATACTTCAACGTCGGAGTTTTGCGAGTTATTTCTGTCTCGTTCAGTTGCAAATTTAAGTTTTTAATTTGAATTAAAAAATAATTTTATATAAAATTTTTTAATTATAACAAAAAAATTAAATATGACTTTTTATAAAATTTTTAATTATAATAAATTTAAAATTTAAAATTTAAATTAGTGAAATAAATGAAGTGTTTTAGATCCAATTTTTAAGAGGGGTTGTGCCTTGTTTCTAATATGGAGGAAGACGTGTATCTTGTGTTTGATTTCTTTAGGGAAAATCTCCTAACAGTGTGATTTCAGACCTGATTTGACAAATCATGGAATGGACTATTTTTTTATTATCATTTTCGACTAATTAATGTATATTACAATCTCTAGTGAATATTATTTTGCCTCTTCAACTATTCTTAACTCTAGATTTTTTCTTTCCGGCGAAAAAAAAAATGCTTAATTGGATGGCCAAAAGTCAGCATACTTATTTAAGACCCAGAAGTGTATTTGAATTATGATTTAGATATTAATTTAAATTCTTTAGGAGAGAATTATTGGTGAGAATTTTTTTAATTTAAATTTGTTGTGAGAAGAAAAATACTGTAACAGAATCGTAGTTTAGATTTGCATACATGTATCAAACAATCTCTTAAAAGTTCATATAACGCGTATCTCTACAATTTTGCTGTAAAATCAGCTATGAAAATATCATGTCACG